GAGGGGGAATGCACTATCGCCACACCTCTTTGACACACAATTTCACATATGTATGCTTTGATTATGCGCCTCCTGGTCACTTAAACTGCCATTCATAACTAAATGGGAAAGAGATCTTCAACTCACCTTCAAGCTGGATTATATTGATAGAATCTTGTACTTCATGCAAATGGTTTCTATAAGCATCATCAGGATACTATAAGATCTTAACAAGATGGTACCTTACCCCAGATGGGGTGCGCAACCTTTACCCCCACTCAACAGACCTCTGCTGGAGATGTGGTGAGGCTGTTGGATACCTCCTTCATATTTTTTGCTCCTGTGCCAAGCTCCAAGAGTTTTGGTCCGAGGTCCGTCGGATCACTCAAAAATTTACTGACTACCAAATACCCATGGACTTGGCCTGGCTCCTTCTACATGGTTGGCCAAGGTTGAAGAGATTAATAGAATAGAGGACCTCATCTCAACTGGTGAAGCATCTCATAATTAAGTTCTTAAAAAAGTGGTTTTCCTGGCATGAATTTACTTTCTCCACAGAATACAAGTCTATCCTGGAGGGCTCAGGTGCTGGGTTGTCCTCTGAGACGATGGTAGGGTCCTGAGTGGACAGAGGCATCCTATCCCTCCCCTAACACCCATCCCCCCTCTTCCTTTTTTCCCCCAATTTTCTTTCCTGCTGGTCGGCTTCTGCTTTTCACTATTTTCCTCCTTTGTCACTTCTTTTTCCCGCCATAGTGTTGTTACTCCAAAAAGTTTAAAGCTAGCCCCTACCTTATGAGTTCATGGTATGACCACTCTGTTGATATGATGCAGAATATCCAATTTTACCCGATGGAAAATGTCGTTACAATTTTCCACACTGGACTATGTATACTGTTGTATGAGGATATGTACAGTAGATGTAATTCTGTTAATGTGACATATGGCTTGTGTTAGGCTCTGTACTGTAAGGTATGGACCTCGCTTATTGTTAAATGAAAAAAAAAAAATAAACAATTTTAAAAGACCCTGACAGACAGGGTTTTTATAACAGATGAAACCCTAGGGGTTACTTCTGTCATAAATACTTCTCAGCAGGCTGTTAGCAGTAATATATTCTTAGTTGTGCTCTGTGCCATGATAAAGTGACGCATGTGTGCATGCACGTGACTGACATCATTGCTGCCCAGCGATTCAAGCAATCGGAACACAGCAAACCCAGAACATTGGGCACAGATAAAATCACTAGGAACCAGCTGGATGACAGTGTGGGCCTGGAGGCTTTCGTTTGAAGGTAGATCTGCCATTATGTGCTAATATATAGTGCAAACTACACAATATGGCATAAACCAGCTGGGGACCCTTTTATTAATAGAAAAGCAAAGTTTAACATTGCTTTTAGAACCATGCAAATGCAAAAGACGACTGTCAGAAACTGGGAACAACATGCTGTGGGAGATGGTTAAAGACTATAGGTGCTTAGAAACGGTTGAAAAACTAAGCAAAGCAGTCTGAATTTGAAGACATGCTACAGGAGGACTGTTTGACGGCTCCACACTCTACTTTCTTTAGATTTAAATTAAATTACTGTTGCACTAACTTCTTACCTGCATTACTAGCACTTGCGTTATGGAGACAGTGGAATATCAATGGACTTCAGAGGGAGAAAAGCAGAGAGCTGTAGAACTTTGTGCACAGCAGGTGGACCCAAGATCATGGTTTGAGCATTCACTGCTGAACTGTTAAAAGTCTAAGCTGTTCAGCAAACACAGCATGATGCCAGATAGTTGCAGGAACATCATCATGACTCTGCCTCCTTGGCACATCTAATAAATGCCCAGAAGCAGAGCAGTCTCTTGGAAAAGGCAAAATCTTTTTTTTTTTTTTTTTCAGATTATAATGATGTAGCAGGGTGGCATTATTAACAGGTGATGGAACATGGGGGTCACACAATCAGTGGTAATAATTGTGTAAGTGCTGTAACGTAGTCATCATTTAATCAGATTCCCTTCCTTCAGATCCAATTGCGTAAAAAGACCATGTGGGAAAACAGGCCAGTCCATGCATATGCTGCCTATCCACAAACCAGATTTAAAACTTCCTTTACTATAATTGATCAAGCATGCATGAGTACCTTTTAAAAAAAATGGTTAAAGAGATTACACTTTAAGTATCATCTGGTTATATTATGAATCTAAAACATGGGCAGTAGTTGTTACATCCAAAGTACAGTAAGTTCTTACCAAGAGAAGAGTTTTTCAGAACCAGCACCAGGGAGATATTTATATATTTTTTTTCTCCTAGTCCAGCTACCTCGTGCCGCCCCAAACACACGCTGCTCCAAAACGAATTTACCAACACTTACAATATTACAACAAGAGCAATATCATGACCTTATTTACAGAAGTTGAATCAAAACCAAATTAGTAGAAATACAATCAGTAACATGTCGAGGACAACATAAATACTGCACTATCACAACCAGAAACTTCAGCGGAAATAGAACATGTACCTTACGGAGGGCCCGTTCACACCAGAACCCATATTCTGTGCGCATTTTCTGCATCACATTCAAAGCAAACTGAAGTTGCGATCCACAGGGAGTGTAAACGTTAACACCTCCCCAAACGCAGATTGCACAGTACAGAGGTTCCATGCGTTGAAGTTGCTTTGAGTTTCCAAAGGTAGTGCATGCACTGATGTGGTGCAGTGTGATTTGAGCTCATTCAAAATGAATGGCCTCAAATCGCACCACGCTAAACTGCATTGGAATCAATTTCCCAGGATGAACTAGCCTTAAAACAGCACAAACATGTCCGCAGACACAGAAGTTACTGTATTGACACAGCTAGAAACCTCTGCAGAGCCACAATCCGTTTCATACTGACAGAAGCAGAGACATGTCTGAGGAGACACAATCAGTACTGTACTGACTTCACTGCCAAAGCAACACCCTGTTGCCAGGATTGTCTCTTAATCACTTCAATACCGAGCACTTTTACCCCCTTCCTGCACAGGCCAATTTTCAACGCTCTCACACTTTGAATGACAATTGCGTGGTCATGCAACTCTGTACCCAAACTAAATTTTTATCATTTTGTTCACACAGCTAGAGCTTTCTTTTGGTGGTATTTAATCACCACGGGGATTTTTATTAACAAAAAAAAGACTGAAAATTGTGAAAAAAAAAAACACGTTTCTTTGTTTCTGTTATAAAAGTTTGCAAATAAATAATTGTTCTTCATAAATTTAGGCCAAGATGTATTTTGCTACATGTCTTTGGTGTAAATAACCCAAATCAGGGTTATTTAGTTTGTAGGAAAGTTATAGAGTTCACAAACTATTGGATAGATCTGAAAATTGATCAATCCTGAAGTACTGACAGCCAATCTAATTTCTTGAAGCCCAAAAATGTCAGAACAGTACAGATATCCCAAAATGACCCCTTTTTTGAAAAGTAGACAGTCCGATGTATTTCATAAGAGGCATGGGGAGTTTTTTGAAGTTGTAATTGTCATAATTTTTTAGAAAATTAAAAAAATTATTTTCACAATTTTTTTTTACTGTCACTGACTGGTGACAGTACAAAAAAAAAAAAAAACATTGATAATTGTTTTTCAATTTTTTTAATACTTTTTTTTTTCTTTAAGATGTGTTTTGCATATTTCACTATGACCAAAGTAGTACAATGTTACTATGGTAACATTATACTACTTTAGGGAAGTGATCAGTATTTTTTTTTATACAATTTGATTACTTATAGCAGTAGGGGGCCCCATGAGATGCCCCTGGTACCTTTTTCATAGGCTTTTTTGAGTTTCGACAAAGGACACAGGGGCCACATGATGCCCTATTGCCCGGGGGCCCCATGAGTTGTCAGGAGAAAGAACAAAAAGAGGGCGCACAGGCCTAGTGCATTACCATAAAAAATGTTTAATAAAAAATAAAGGTGTTGTACTCACAAACGACAATATAGTCAAGGCACATCATAAAAGAACAGCTGGATCAACACCGCGCTGAGTAACAGTCCGCAATAGGGAGTTTAGACATCCAAAAGGCTGACGCGTTTCGAGGACTTGCCTCTTCCTCAGAGCCAACTGACCAAATGTCTCATTTGGTCAGTTGGCTCTGAGGAAGAGGCAAGTCCTCGAAACGCGTCAGCCTTTTGGATGTCTAAACTCCCTATTGCGGACTGTTACTCAGCGCGGTGTTGATCCAGCTGTTCTTTTATGATGTGCCTTGACTATATTGTCGTTTGTGAGTACAACACCTACTTTATTTTTTATTAAACATTTTTTATGGTAATGCACTAGGCCTGTGCGCCCTCTTTTTGTTCTTTCCCCATTCAGTATATTTGGATTCCCCCGGTCCATTTGAGGGCAGCAAGGTGTGCATGTTCCAGGACATTCTTAATGTGGTTGTAGCATCGAGTCCATCCCCAAGCGCAGGAGCATTTGTGTTTGCTGGTCCCATGAGTTGTCAGTCTGCCCCTGCTGGATACTTAAAACTATGAGCCTTATATTGCTACCTATATGGCCTGGTAGCAAATCAGGCCCTTGCCAGTGCTGAACAATTTTGGGGTTTAACTAAAAGTTTCAGCAGACTAAAGCACTTCTTTAGCTGTAACTAAAATACAGGACAGTGGAGATATGTCACTTATCTTTTTTCTTGTCAAAGAGAAAAATTGTTTTGCAGGGAGCTTTATTAAACACATGGAGGAAGCACAATAAGAAAATTACTAGAAATCTGCAGACAGTTAAGAGTAATAAAGGTTAGAAATATTCGACATACACAACATTTATAACAAAACTCATTCTTTATTAATAGAAAAAAAAACTAAAAACAAAAAAAAAACACACAAATTTGTATCACGTATACAGATTGAAGGAATTACTGAAACGTTCTGCCATTTTCCAACCTTCTCATACATGAACTGTGCTTGTAAGTGTGGTCAGTGAAAAGATATCTCATATGCTGAGATTTCTTATAATCCTGGAACGTACATCCAAGAAGTGGTCCCCTCATTTTTCCAGTGGAGCATAATTTAGAAGCTTTTCTATCAGGTCCACATGAGCCAGAAGCATACGGCGACAACAGTACCTCTTTAAGCCTAGAGCATCCAGTGCATCTCTGTAAAACAGATAATAAATGTTATATAATAACAACAACAGAGACCAAATTGACATAGAAATAGGAATGAAAGAGCCCTGAATACAATTTGCATAAGAGATTGGGACCAATGCAAACACTACACTGGGTTTTTTATTTTAGTTTTGGATCAAATGTGAAAAAAATTAGGACCTCTGTCTGGTTCTACCGATATCCGGGACTCCATTAGAAGGATTATTAGACAGAAAATGAGGGAAAATCTGTAACAAGGAAGCAGACAATAATAAACACAAACATGGGTTTTAGAGGTCCTCTACTTAAAGAGGAACTTCACTCTGTCAGTTAACATTGACTATATTTAATCCTTATGCTGCTAGTATCAGTAAATAGATAGGAAAGTTTATTATATTTGTTTTAAACTTTTAATTTTAAATTTTTCCTGTTATTTCCATGCCTAGGCAAATGATATCATACATCCCAGGAGTCTTCAGAAGGAGAGGATGGGCTTTCTCAGCTAAGCACACCCTCCTGTCTATATGCCTGCACTAAGGGCAGATGGATTCTAGGACGTACATGATACAAGAATCACCTGTGCGGGTTTCTTCTGGGTACTCAGGTTACCTCCCACACTCCAAAGACATGCTGGTAGGTAATTGGATCCTGTCTAAATTTGCCTTAATATGTGTATGTATGAATGTATGTTAGAGACCTAAGATTGTACACCCCACGAGGGTTAGGTACTGATGTGAATGTACAATATATATGTAAAGCGCTTTGTAAATTGATGGCGCTATAGAAGTACCCGAAATAAATAATAAATAAATCTGCCCTTACTCAGGATGGCCTCAGCCAGAAATGCTAGAGGGTGTTTTTCAAAGTGATTTCTCACAACCTCACAAAATAAAGCATAGAGACATGATGGATGGTGGAGTTTGCTTTGAATATTAAAAATTAATTATACAGTGTTTTTGATTGGTGGTGCTCAGGTGCAGTGTAGTTCCGGTTTAAGTAAAACTACACTTCTGTTAGTGCTGCTGATAAAGCCCACTTTAGTTTCTAAGGACTACATATTCCATGGTACCTTGCTGTCTGCAAGCAGCGATTCCTGTATTGACCCTACCTTCTGAAACTCCTCTCAGCCCCTTTGCAGTTCAGAAGGCAGGCTCTGTGAAATGTGTGAAACAACCCACAGGGCAGATATGCGACACAGAAATGGGAGCTTCATAAAGTAAGTTTAAAAACTTCAAGCTCATAGAGATTAAAGTGGAACTACAATGCGTCTGAATACCACAAACCAAGAGCACTATATAATTAATTTTTAATATTCAAAGCAAACTCCCCCATCCATGTCTTCATGCCTTATTATTTAAAATCCAACTCCAGGAAAAAAATATCCACCCTTGCAGTGCCCCCCTGCCAGGATTAAATACTTGTTATGCTTACAGGATACTGTGCAAACAGCTTTACCCATCTTACACCTTCAACTCCAGCCGCTCCAGCACTCCCCACCTCTGCCTGAAGCTCTGATCTGTGGGAGGAGCCTTGGCATCGCCATGCATAAGCAAGGGATAATATTCCATAGCAAGGATTCATTTTTGTTTTCCTAGAGCTGTGCTTTAGCTTAGTTTCTGCCCTGACTTAATTCTGATGGGCTTTTAACCCTTCCCCAATCTATCCAAAACGAAAAAAGGTTTTTGGAAAAAAAAAAAAAAAAAAAAAAAAAAAAAAGGATACATTTTAAGATGTTTTCCCAAATTAACTGAAACCCTGTAGATATCCTTTATATCCTAAATTATACATTTCCTTCATTACTGCAGGGACGTTGGATTCCTATAGCTCGACGCCCAGGACATGTAGTTCCGGGTGCCAGGCAGGTAGTTTCTTTCTGCCTTTAGCCCTGATGCAGGGCTCACCTGTCAGATGATGTAATCGGCAGCAGCGCTGCAACCGATTGCTTCCACACAGTGCCAGACTCTCTGCGCCCCCAGCGTGAGGTATCCTGGGCTCCGCTTGCCCATCTGCGGACCCGGTTTGCTGTCGGCTAGAGGGAAGGGAGAAGAGCGGACAAGTCCGCTCTCCTCCTCTTCTTGTGCTGACCCAGAAGTGACATTATGATGTCACTTCCGGGTCCCTGTTGAGAGATTGTAATGCAATCCCCAGGAAAGAGCAATCCCCTGTGGAGCAGAGAAAGACATCCAGGGTTTTTTAGACCTTGGATGTCTCAGAGAACCGGTCACCAAAAATCATCACATTTGTCCCCTATGTGATGAAATAAAAAGTAAAAAAAAGATTTTTTTTTTTTCTAATTGCAAAAAATGAAAGTTACACCCAAGCACATACCATCCCCCCTCAAAAAAATATTGAGGCCCCTACATATACGTACGTACAAACGTAAAAGCACATGCGGGGGCGCTTATGCATGAAACCATCGATTGCAATACACGGTACATATCGCCACGCAAGCCAGAATGAGAGCAATAATTCTAGCACCAGACCTCCTCCGTAATGCTAAACTAATTACACTGTTCAACAAATTTTTATTTTTTGCCAGTTTTGGAAACAAAAGGATCCATTTCTTAATGAATTTCACATTCTGAGTTCAAATATAACAATGAAATTTGTCAATTGGCTCTAGTTTTTCTGTAAACGGAAAGTTTTCTACTATAGGCGTAATGACTACATAATGCACAATAATTATATAGATAGATGTCTTTCCACAAATATAAAGCAAGTGATATTGACTACATAACAAAGCCTAAATGGCATAATATATTGCATAGGATTACCAAGAAAAATTATAGCCATAAGCTAAGTTGAATCATTTTAATACTTAGGATTCTCACTAGTTTTGTCTTCAGTTTGTGTCGGTTTTGCTTCTCTTGGCTTTTCTCTTGTATTCGAGGAAAGGGCTATCTCTTACAACTGCACGTGACTACACGCTTCAGGTTCTTCCTCACTTGACTCAACCACGAAGGATTCTGGTGCTTTAGGAATTGGTAGCCCCTCTCCATGAGGAACTGGACGTATTGCCGATGGAATATTTGGATAGTGCACAGATAACTTTTTCTTCTTATTTAGCCCTTTTACAATTGGAGGCACCATACAAAAGTAACAATTACTAACATGATCTGTTGGCTCTCTCCAAATCATTGGCACAGCGAAAGGCATAGATGCCTTTTTTTTTCCATTCAACCATTGCTCCAGTGCCGTCCCACAAGAATTGCAGCATATATGTGGTGCCCAGCTCTTGTCCTGGTCTCCTATCTTGCAGCCAAAATACAAGTTGTAGGCTCTCTTAATCATTCCTGTTATCCTCCTTTTTTGTGAGATAAAAGTTATTTCACTGCAGATATAGCAGAAATTATCTGCTTTATTCACACAAGTTCGAGGCATTACTGAGTAGCCTATATAAGCATAAAACGAAATGTAAAGACGCTGTCGAACTACAATCAGCTACAGATACTGCAGCTTTTATGCAGTGAAGTAATGCAATTAAAGGCTAATATTGCATCATCTCAGTATACATGCAATTTTCTATTGGTCACCAGTATCAATTGCGCAATATGCAGCTGAAGTTGCATCATAATTTTGAATGGCTTACGTCATTAGATGGGTGAATATATCATGGAAACTAGAGCCAATCAACATTTTTTAGGGTCATTTTCGTTTTCAGCACCCCAAAATTATGTAAGATTAGCTAATTTTATGCCCAAAACTTTTTACCTGTTGAACAGTGTTACCTATAAGGAGCTTTAAAAGTGTCGACCTATAGAAAATATAGGGTACTGGAGTTCGGCGCCATTTCACGAGCGGGTACAAATTTAAGGTTTGACAAGTTGATATCGATTTACTCGCTGCAACCTCATCTTTTATATCTTACAAAAAAATAAGGCAATTTATTGCTTTTTTGTTCCCTAAAATTAACTTACTTGTATTTTTTATCGAAATTTTGCGGTAATATCATGTGACATAAAAAATTGGAACTACCACTATTTTATTTTCTAGGGTCTCTGCTTTCAGAAAATATATAACGTTTGGGGGTTTTATGTAATCTTCAGGCCTAAAATGATTTTTTAAACGTGTACAAAAAACGCCTGGCAGCAAAAGGGATAAAGTATAAGACCTGACCCACCCTTTCCTGACGAGCAGCCAATCAGTGCTCATTACACTGCAAGGTCTCTCTCCTCCCTGCTAGTCCCCGGGTGCGGTGCTGGAGACAGGCAGGGAAGGGGGGAGGAGGAGATAAAACAGTGCAATGTTAAAAATATTACACGTTTAAGTAGCCATAAAGCCTCTTTCGTTTCTAAAAGCCCCAGACATTCCTAATATCACCTCTGATTTAAATAGGGTTTTGATTAATTTTTTTTTTTATCTAGAAAAGTAGATTGGGGCCCCAATTTAGTCCCTGGACAGGTAGATTGGGACCCTGATTTAGTCCCTGGACAGGTAGATTGGGGCCCTGATTTAGTCCCTGGACAAGTAGATTGGGGCTGCTGGTCTGGGTCTAAAGTGGGAGGGCTATGGGGGTTTGGGAGGTGCAGGACTCATCAAATGTGTCCTGACTATCCATGAAGTGACTTTCTGAATATCTGACATAACTATGAATGAATGGCTGTGTACCTGCTGCTGTGTTTTTTCCTATTAAAGCTTTTGCCAAATTTCGCTCAGCGCTAAACACACCAATGTGAAGTTTGAGTTCCATTTCATGCTCAGTTGAGCATCAATGAGTATTAATCAATTGCCTCTTTGCTGGTTGTTTTTCCACCCAGTATCTATGAATGATAAATGGAGGACTGTTTGGATGGCCCAGTGCACCAGAGCCTCAAATAAATACTCTATAGAAATAAAATCTTCCGCAGCACTGTTTTTTTTATATTAAGGATGGATAAATATTTAGTACAAAATGAAAAAAAATGTAATCCAATATATAAGATGGGTCTGTAACACTAGCTGGTTCAGAACCCCTGTTACCCAGATGGTTATCAACCCTTGCTAACAGACAAACACAGCAGTAAATAAATTATACATACCCTTCAGTGTATTCTGCCTGCAGAAGTCCAAGATAAGCCTCCCACTTATTTCCAACAATCTTTCCACATGTGAAGCATCTTACTGGGATAATCATTTTCCTGAAGTCCTTAAGGGGAAACACAAGAAATTGGGTCAGAAGCCACGATAAGATGTAGCTAAATAACAACAACTGCTCCTCTGAGACCTTGCTATGCTCCTGCTCTGGGCAATGCAGTCCCCGGGAGATAAGTCTGTTGAAATTATAGTAGGCCAGTGTATAACCTTACTCATGGAACTTTCTGTGTGGTTTCTGTGCTTTCTAAGATGCAGTTGTCAGCACTGGCCCGATTAGAAAAAGTGTGAGTTCTGCTGTAGAAACCGTTACAATCTGTAGGGAATATCATGTGTTTGGTCGGTTGGTTGCACATTACCAGCAGTGTAATAAAGCTTAGGGAAAAAATAAGCAGCAGATTCAATATTAAAGTAGAATGTTATTTTCAATAAGAAAGTGGAACGTTCCTCCACAAGTTATTCCCATGGATGGGCTGTGGTCTACCCATTGTGTCAATGGATTTCTGGAGTTCACAAATGGCAATACAAATATTAGGTATATCTGACAAACCAACAGAAGCTTACTTGGAAAATCTCCTTTCATGTTGCAAGTTCTGCCTGTCTGCTAGCTTTCTGGCTGGGGCCATCTTGAGTTAAGGGCACATGATTCATGAAGCATTTACTTACATCCATCTGCCCTTAGCTCAGGCATACATGCAGGAGGGTGTGCTTCGCTGACAAAACCCCTCTTGCCCTCATGAGGACTGGACTTCCGGTCCGTGGTCATCCAGGCTCGGTCCAACGTGTTGCATCATGGGTCAAGTGACTTCATCAGAGGACAAGATGAAATCACTTGACCAGTTATGCAACACGCTGGGCAGAGCCTGGATGACCGAGGACCAAAAGTGGTGGTTTGCAATGATATTGCAGTATTTCTGAGCTGTATTTTTTTTAGATGGTGTCACTGCACGTTAGTGCATGCTGAGTATTTACGCACAGCAGGAAATATGTTTCTTTACACAAGACGTAGCACACATTGTCACCAACATATAACATATGAACTGATGAACTGCATTAGCACCTTACAGGATCACATTTGTTTTTTGGCACTTTAATATTGTATATTTTAGGTGATATACGAGTATGGTATATAAACAGATGTACTACACCATCCCTTTATAGAAGCACGTTTCACTTGTATATTTGCACTTTAATCACTTGCCTACCTGGAACTTTCACCCCCTTCCTACCCAGGCCAATTTTCAGATTACAGCACTGTCGCACTTTGAACAATTGTGCAGTCATGCAACACTGTACCCAAACTAAATTTTTGTCATTTTTTGGAGACAAATAAAGATTTCTTTTGGCAGTATTGAATCACCACTGGGGTTATTTTTTGCTAAACAAAAAAAAAAAAAATACAAAATAAAAAAGTTCTTAGTTTCTGTTATTAAGTTTTGTAAATAAGTGATTTTTCTCCTTCACTGATGTGCACTGAAAAGGCACTGATAGGCACAGATGGGCACTGATAGGGCTACACTGATCATCAGGGCACTGATGATCAGTGTAGATATCCCCCTGAGAAATACCGCTTACTGACTCTCCTCAGCTTGAAGAGAAGACTGCCGATAACCAGCATTTTCTATTTATACTGTGATCAGCTGTGACTGAACACAGCTGATCACATGGTAAAAGGGGGCTCAGATTGGGCCTTTGCTTGGACACGTGATCAGTTGTGTCCAAAGGACACAGCAATAACAGATCGTGCGTGGGGGTTGTGGTTCTGGGAGGATGTCCATGGAAGCCCTCCCAGAACTAACCGACTGTGCTATAGCTGTCTTTTGGCTGTAGCGCGGTAGGGAAGTTGTTAATATTGTTCATTTTGTTGCGTTTTTGGTTCTATAGACTTCAATGGAACTGCAGAAAAGCATGTACTGTGTTTTGACACATTTTTGGTGCGTTTTAAATCTGCCTAGTAGAAAAAAAAAAAAGATGCAAAACACGTCAAAAAACGCAAATGCAAAACGCAATGCAGAAATGGCTCAAACACAAACTGCATAGGTGTGAACCTAACCTTTGAGGGGAATTTTCCTTACTTTGTAGAGATTTACTTTACTCCATGACAGCTATGCAAGTTTACTAGACTGCATCTATGGAGGAACAGTGTAGCCACCTGTCTGCATTTCATTCAGGAAAAAAAAAAAAAAAAAGTTTTCTGCGCCATTTTTTGAACCTGCAACCTCTGGTAAATGGCTTTTGCATCATGCAATTTCCCGGCATTTGCAGCACCTGAAATGACTGCCAGCCTAAAGTGTCTGTAAAGAGCAGCGCGTTTTGGCTGTCATTCCAATATCAATAGCATAGGTCTGCAAAAACTTTTTTTCAAGAGCTGTTTTGGTTATTCCACGTAATCTTTGTTTTTTGGTGCCCTGAATCCGAAAATGACCTCCATTTTGTCATAGGACATCACGTTTCCTGACAATTTAGGTAACTATGTTAATTAAGGCAATACCTCAAAATAAATGGAAATAGACTTATAAAATTAAAGTATTATTACAATTTTTTCATGAAAATCCTTTTTTGAACTGAAATGAGCTCACCTACACACACTAAACTTGATTCTTCTTCGCTGTGAGGCTCCTCTTGGTGCATTTACGCTTGTGAGTAGCATCTGGAATGTCTCTCTGAAGCATCCAACAGTAGTCTACCATCATTGTAATGCTCCATTTTCCATGGTATCTCCTTTCCATCTCTTTAATGTCTTGGTGGAATCATTCTTTCAAACTCATCAGGCAACCTAAAGCTTGAAATGCTTTCAGCATTCGTCCGATCTTTTTGTAGTGAGGATCTTTGTTATTGCCTAAAAATTTCTGTACGACTTCTTTAAATGCAATCCACCCTTCTTTTTGAGGATCAGTCATGGTATTGACAAACTCTTGATCAACTATAAGCCTTCTAATGTCTGGTCCAACGAACACACCTTCCTTCAATTTTGCCTCAGACAGGCCTGGAAACTTGGTGACCAAGTATTTGAAGCATTCTCCATCTCTTGGAAGTGATTTTACGAATTGCTTCATCAATCCCAATTGTATGTGGAGAGGTGGTAGAATAACTTTATGGGAAGGTACCAAAGTTTCTCGGAGGACATTTTTTTCACTGACTCTCAGCACCCTCGGCTGCCAACTCTTCTTGGTCCAGTGATTTTGTCGGTCTCAATTGTCCCATAGACACAGAAAACAAGGGTATTTGGTATCCCACCCACTGGATTCTTCAGGAAAGATTAACCCCTTCTACCATTAGAAGCACAGACTCAGGGCTGAGGCTTACACATGCAGCTGAGTATCCCAGTAGTAAGACATGTCACTCAGAGCAGCACTTGTATTCACCCCCTTTGCAGGGGGGGAGGGGCAGAGATTGTTTACCTGCAAATAGCAACAAAGGGCCAGAAGAGAACTAGGGAAATAGATTTTTTTTTTTCCCTAAAACTTGTTTAACTTATGTATATATTGCTGATCATCAGATTTACAGTGCTAGATTTTTTTTTACATAACTCGGACAACCCCTTTAAGTTTTTTTGGGCATTTTATATCTTAAGTGCACTTATATGAATTAATTAAAAGTAATTTGGACTTTAAATTTGGTTAAAAACCCATAATATAAAAAAAAATATCAAAAATTAAAATTTTTTAATAACTTTGAAGACAATTTTGCATTTTGTGGCAAATCATGACGTCTAGGAGTTTTTTCAATATTTTGTTTTCAGCACACCAAAATACATGGAAATTAGATGAAAATAATCAAACAGCTTTTTAAATCGCAGACCTGTGTAGTGTGAACCTCGCCTAAATTCACAGTTTGTAAAAATAAGTGGGGCGTACAATTGAAATCTAGGGGACACGACCAGCCCCAGCAATTCCCCCCCGATACAGCCATACAGCACTTACTTGCCTGGTTCTATGTGGAGTCCCTACATTCACAGTGCTCTTTAAGAAAAAAAAACAGCATTCCTGCCATCCCTTTAGCTATTCCTGATCCTGTATTCTCTGTGCCGGGTGCTGTGGATTCTATGCATATATTTGGCATCCCTCCATGCAGGTCTGTGCTGGCTTGTCCCTGCCGGTCGCCATGGCTTCTATTCTTGCACGGTGTACCTCCAGGTATGCCCGGGCCACATGCTGAACCCTCCTGGGCTGCACGCGGCCTGCAGTTTGGACACCCAAGCCTTACATAAAATGAAAAGTTCACCATTGTAAGTACTCCTGTTAATGTGGAGCTAAAGGCACAACACTTACCTCCTCTGCTACTCTCAGACATCCATGTGCCAGCATCTTCTGAGAGCTGATCTTCGGCTGCCTTTATTGGCCTACATGGGATGATGTAACTCCTGGAAATGTGCAGGAACCAGTCATTCCTGGGAAATGGACTGTGCTGGTGATGTAAACTGAACTTCACATGTGCAGTCATTCACAGGATCTGTGGCAGCAGTAGGGCAGTGATGTCACCACACAGAGTCCACTGTTTACTTCCTCCGGCACCAGCTTCCTGCACAGCCAATTTTACATGTTGTGCTGTCCAAATGTAGACCATTTGTGGTTGAGGCCATGCACCTGACCTTATATAACCTGTCAAAAACCAGCTGTGTGCTGTAGTCTGTACAGCCTCTGCATGTCCATTCAATAACACATGCTGCCTGAAAACTGCTTCTGTGCCCTCACCAAACATTCCAAGAGATCATCCTAATCCAAGATATATAAACTACACCACCACAGTAGTTACAATTACAAACGCAGACTGGTTTCAGTCTCTTAAAAATCCTCTCAGCACACCACTGACTGCGCTTCTTTCTTAACTTCCGGTTCATGGATATGAGTGGTAAGTGTACACCGATCAGCCAGAACATTTTGACCACTCACAGGTAACATGAAGGACATTATCTCCTTTCATCTGAAAGTGGGTGGGATATATAAAGCAGTAAGTGAACATGTTGTCCCTGAAGCTGATGTGTTGAAAACAGAAATAATGGGCAGGTTGAAGGATTTGAGTGACTTTGACAAGGACCAAATT